GCTCTTTTATTTTATTAAATTTAACACAATTTTTTTTAGGTGTGTGGATTTGGTTACAGAAAATAAAAATCATCTCATAAACTAGAATCAAAAAGTAGCATTAATAATGACACCCATAGAATTATAAATATATACATTTGAAATTTTTGCAGATGATTTCTTTTCATTATTAAGGTAAGATGGTATTTTCTTGCTCGATTTGAATGGTTGCATGGTCGATATTGTATTTTGGGCCAGAGATGAGCTCTGTTGCCGCTTCCAGAACCTCAGTACTGTCAGTTCGAGAGTCTGCAACATTATGTAACGTTTATGGCTGGTACAGAAAACTCGTAAATTTTGAATGCTTACATATGGCGAGATGGACCATCATTACGGTTTGCTGAGTGGCTTGCTGCCACACGTTGAGGTGGTGCACAGATCTGCCAATAGAAGTAGGACCTTACAGTAAGGTTAGCTTGCGCGAATTCTGTGGACTTACTCACCTGACACCTTTTAGGCTGCTCAGCTCGTAATGCAAGGTCCGCAGGTTAAGGTTTTGTGGGACTGCGTTAACGAGGATAGCAATAGATTCCCGAAATAATTGGACTGTTGTCAAAATTACAATAATTGAAAAAAGGAGAGTGCACAATGGATCTGCATATTTAGCATTTGGCTGTTATGTAAAAATCAGAGACAGAAACATTAGAATGAATAATAAATACATAAAATAGTTTTAAAAACTTATTCTGCCGTCCTTTTAGTTAATTAAACTCAAGATATTAAAGGCCTTGACACCCAAATATATATAAAGTATGAAATACTAAGTTTTTCCATTAAAGAGAAAACATTTAAAAGGAAACGCCACACGGAAAAATACAGATGTAGTCACTTACTATACCAAATCGTTGAAATGGAATTCAACATTTTAATTTTTCCCAGTAGTATTGAAGTAATTATTTCCCGTTACTCGTAGAGTAAAAGGCTATACTAGATTCGTTGAAAAGTATGTAACAGGTAGAAGGAAGCGTTTCCGACCCTATAAAGTATACATATTCTTGATCAGGATGAATAGCGAAGACGATTGAGCCATGTCCGTCCGTCTGTCCATCTGTCCGTCTGTCCGTTTGAACGCTGAGATCTCAGGAACTATAAGAGATACAAAATTAAAATTAATCATGAGGATTTTTGAGGTCCCTATGCAGCGCAAGTTTATTAAAGCATTCTGCCACGCCCACTCTAACACCTACAAAAAACAAAAATCGCTGAAATCTCCAGAACTACTTGAGCCAGAAAGTTGAAATTCAGAATCTATAATCTTTAGATGCCAGCACATCTTATAGTGGTACTACTAGCCGGCCACACCCATCCATGATATCTCGGTAAATATGAAAGATAGAAAGTTCGGTTTAAGCATGCAGATTCTTATGATGCTCCAAATGCAAATTTATTTTTCCCATCTGGCCACGGCCACCCTAACGCCCACAAAACCCGGAAAACCAAAAATGCAAAATCTCGGAAACTATAAGAGCTACAAAGTTTTGCTTAAGAACACAAATTTATGAGATGCCACAGCAACTTGCCAAGAGTTTTCATCCTGCCACACCCACCCTAACGCCCACAAACCGCGAAAAACTAGGGCGTTTTTTTTAAATGGGATCATTATTTTGCAATATGAAGAAATTTAAGTTATAAGCCCTTACATGTGCAGTGACGTCACTATCAGTTACTCAACATTTTTTTTCCGACAATAGGTGGCGCTTTGGAAATTTTAACTAGCAAAATGAATAGTTTAAAATTGTGTAAAACAGTAACGGGTATCTTATAGTTGATTTAGCTATGTCCATGTGTTCGTCTGTCAGTCCTTAGGACTCCACTCTAACGCCCACAAACCGCTATTTATCGCTTTATTTTCACTATTTATGAAGAAATGTAAGTAATAATGCTTTCTCTGACAATAGGTCCCGATTTGTGAATTTCCACTGGCAAATAGAATATTTTAAAATTGTGTAGAACAGTAACGGGTGTCTTATAGTCGCGTCACCAAGATATCGTGAACTATAAGTGACTTAAAGAAGTCACTGGAGGGTAATATGACCTTCTGAGAGTGGTCACCACTTGTTAAAGATATGTGCGATAGAAGGTTTCCTGCGGTCGGGGATATACCGATCCGTGGGTCTAGAGATAAGGATTTTCAATTCTCATGTTTACTACCTAAGCTAGGATTTTAAGAAATAAAACCAGTTTGAAAAATCAACTCAATAGTATTAGACGCTTGTTTCATTTACAGCCTCTCTATTATTTTAGTCCTTCGACGACTCTCTCTCTCCCCTGTGGTAATAGGTCCAGAGTGATTAATCAGCACATAAAAGTCTGTAGGTAAGTGCTAGACCCCTGCAGCTTAAGTTACCAAAAATAAGAATCTCTTGTTTTCCCCCGCGACGAAAAAAAACAGAGAGCAAAATAAAAAGCAAAAAGATACACAAGAATCTTTTCAAATATATGAATTTTTAACGCGACGGTTACGGAGTGCCATGTAAAAAAGCTAAAATAACAAGGCAAGGACTGTTAATCCAGTGAATCGAACCAAAAAAAAATAGTTCTAAAATTCAGACTGGAAATAAATATGTCTGTATATATATATAAATTAATCATTTCTAAACGAAGCCAGTAACGGTAGCAAGAGCCAACAACAGTTGCAATAGAAGTCAGCGGACGGAAGCGTCAAGAGACCAGCATCAGCAGCAGCATCTTCATCAACCTCCAAGCGGAATGCCAGATAAGCGAAAGTTGTATATAAATACCTACTAAAACCCAAAAAAAATATATATAAATATATTATAAAATACATACAAATATATAAATCCCAAAAAAAAAAAGTTCAAAATGATGTCAGAAAAAAAAATATATTTATTAAAGGAGGAAGAGATACAAAATAGAAATCAAGCTTGAAGGTTCTTGAGGTTTTTAGCATCCTGCCACGCCCACTCTAACGCCCACAAATCGCGAAAAACTAAAATCGCTGAAATCTCAGGAGCTATTAGAACTAGAAAGTTGAAATTCAAAATGTATAATCTTTAGATGTCAGCGCATCTTAATACTATCCGGCCACACCCACCTATACGCCCACAAGGCTCAAAAGACCGTTTTCGGATTTTTAAGCAGCATTAGTCAATTTGGTCGGATTTAGCCTAGGGCTAAATCTAATACATCCGACTCGGTCATACCGAGGGAGCACTGCCAATCGGACACTCGCCTATGCTCGCCAGCAGCAGATCCACTGGATCACTGCCGGCACTTTCGCAACAGCACCACAGGAGCTTTGCATTCCTCGCGCGTCGGACCCCAAGAGCCTCGCGTCATATCTCGCAACAGTCCCACAGGGGCTTTGCATCTCTCACGCGTCGGACCCAATGGGCCTCGCGTCATCTCTCGCAAGAGACCCACAGGGGCTTTGCATTTTTCACACGTCGGACCCCTCGGGCCTCGCGTCATCTCTCATACCAGAGACCCACTGGGTTTCGATTCATTCTCTCTCATCCCGAACCCCAGGGTTCATTTCTCTCTACATTCACACTCGCTCGCGTGACTGGCTCCCGAGCCGGCACACGCTCCACCGTTCCTATTCTTTTCCCCCCTTTCTTAGCTAGCGGATCACTAAGACGGCCTGGCCCTGTCCCCACGCGGCTTCCCCTCGGCACACTTCAGAGCAACGGAGGCCCGGCTACCCACTTCGGAAGCTCTTCCTCCCATGCCTGCAGACAGCCCACGGCGAAGACCAGCCGATCCCTGATAATCAAGTCTGTAACCCTTGATAGGCAATAAACAACTCAAACCTGTTCTATCCTTAACAAAACAACCTGCGTCATCGTCTGGGTGGAATAATCTTTTCAGCAACCACGCCGGATATCAAACTAAATGTTGGAACGAACTGCTGGTATCCGGTGAACTGTCCCAGCCATCCCAAAGCAGGACCGATACATGCCGCCCGAAAGAGTAATGTCGAGCTGGGTATACCTAGCTACGAAAGCAAAACTATTAGAAGTAGAGGGTCATGGGAATTAAGACAGAGGTTGGCGATATACTCAAAGAGCACGGAGCACACAGAGGACAACAAGACAAGGTTGATGGAGGTATCAAATAAGTACAAAAAAATGAAAATACCTGGTGGAGGAGTCCAGGTCGAGCCGGACAACAAAAAGATGACCACAAGAGAGGAAACACGGAACACTGGAGAAAGGATGAAAGAAATCCTAGACAGACTGAGGAGTTGGGGAATACGGTACCAGGGCACATCCAACCCACTGGAGTTCCAAGGCAAGATGGAAGAATGGGCCAAAGGATATCGCATAGACAAGGATGCATTGGTACAGACGATGCCATTTAACCTAGAAGGCGCCGCAGAGGACTGGTGGAATACGACACCGAGCCGCATGAGGACGTGGGAGGAGCTGAGAACCAACACGAAAATACGCGATGGAGCTGAGGAAGCTGATGAGATTTACCGACTACTCAGAGGAGGAAAAGCTGGATAGGATATACAAGAACTGTCGGTGAAGACAAAGCTGTATGCACGAAGATCAGGCTTTTCGTCACTATGGGAGTTCCTAACACTGGCAGAAGAACTGGAGGAAATTCAGGCGGCAGAGAGACAGGCACAACCGGCAGAGGAAGGGAATCGCGGACTAAGGCCAGAAATCTGCATGAGATGTGGAGGAACAGGACATGCCACAAGAGCATGCGGAAACCCCTCTAGGCTATTCTGCTGGGTGAGCGGAAGGAACGAGAAGAGGACAACGGAGTGTTGTAGAGCCCGGTTGGAAAACGCAGGAGGCTTGAGCAGGTAACGCTGGCAGCTCAAGACCAACACAAGGACCAGCGGGAGGAGAGTCGATAAGCTACGATGGATTTCAGGTGATGGCAGAGACGGAATGGACAGATTCGAACAATCCAAAAAAAAACGTTCAGGGAGCACAGCGCCCAGCTACAGCGGGCAGCAAAAACAGCAAAGGTGATACCAACACGGGTCGCCGGACCCGAAATAAGGATCCGGACGGCGCCAACCCGCTTGGGGACCAGGCGCAACACTGGAGACCAAGCCCGGCGGATGACAACACCACATCGGGAAGCTCCGAGCGGGAAACGGGCCCCACCCCCTCAAGACGATCGAGCGGCGTGAACTCTCCGGACCGGGACGTACAACAATGTTGCGTCTCGGAGGGTTCGAGTGGGGAAACCGCTGGCCCACCGCAGGTCGAGGCAACAACAACAAACGACTTGGGGTGGACAGTGCCGACAGGAGTAGTCCGCCTGCCCGCCCCCGTGGAACATATCCAGGAGAGATGGAGGAAGAAGCCGTTGGGCAAGCAGCAAAGCTTATTAGTTCCGGAAGGAGACGCCAAACGGAACGTGCTCTTCGGCAGAGGCCGGAGGGTCACGGTGCGCCGATTGGTCCGGAGGCGGCAGGAGGAGGCGAGACACGCACACGCCGGCTGCTAAAAAAAAGAATAAAACATAATTATACCCGTTACACGTAGAATAAAAGGGTATACTAGATTCGTTGAAAAGTATGTAACAGGTAGAAGGAAGCGTTACCGACCCTATAAAGTATATATATTCTTGATCAGGATGAATAGCGAAGACGAATGAGCCATGCCCGTCTGTCCGTCTGTCCGT